CACCACAAATCAGAGTCAATGTGCCAGTTCTTCGATAAACGTGGTTACCCTGTTTCCGTCGTTCAAGCGGGTTACCACCGCGCTCAACTTATTGATCGACATTCAGCACTACAAACGTCGCATAAGGAAGATTCCGACCGCATTCCATTCACTCTCACGTTTCACCCTCACAACCACTCAGTTAAATCCATCATTCTTAAAAACTTTAAATTACTTCAAAACGATCCAGAGACAAGCACTATCTTTTCGCAGCCTCCGCTCATTTCATTCAAACGCGACAAAAACATAGGCAATTTTTTGGTCAGAAGTTCTTTTCAGACTAATGACCAACCAGGCACTTTTAAATGCGCTCGTGCACGATGCAAAACGTGTCCTTTCATTCACAACACTGAGAAAATATCGGGACCCAAACGATCCATTAAGATCACCGATCACTTCACGTGCACCTCCGCCAATGTAATCTATTGCATAACTTGCACTTATTGCAAAAAGATTTACATCGGCGAAACAGGCAGAAGACTAGGTGACCGATTCCGAGAACACCTTCGCGACGTGGAGAGGAATGACAAGGACACATCGAAACCAGTCGCTAGACATTTTAATTTACCTAATCATTCTAAGCAACATATGGTAATATGCGGTCTTTCCTTACACTTAGGTAGCACGTAAAGCCGTAAAAAACACTTGAACAAAAGCTCATCTTTCAAACCGGCAGTCTAAATCCCACAGGTATCAACGAACGCTTCTCATTCCACTAATTTATTCGTGATTTTCTTGTTACCATGTTCCCACCAATCATGTAGCTCCTTTTCTGCCTTTAAAAGCACACACAACCCACAATTCCTCTATTCGCTCCGACGAAGAGCTAACGCTCGAAACGTCAGCTGTTATAATCGTAACGGTGGCCAATTTACCATTTCAACTTTGTTGATATATTCATATTATTTCGTTACCCCACCGACGCAGCCCCAAACTGTTTCTTTAGAAAGTATCCGCCTTTAGCCTATTTAACTTTGGTGATCTGTTTTCATATGGGGTCCTGGACTCCTTTACGGATTATCCGTATGGCGTTTATTTTCTTTCCGCTTGTACTTTATAACTTTATTTGTTATAACTGAGCCATTAAATTGTAATAAATAAGATAAAAAATAAAATTATTCTGAACTCGAATAATGTGGGTGTTGCCACCCTATGACTTAACTACTCATCGAGAAATTTTAACGACGGCACTATCATATTTCACAAAAACTTCAAACAAAAGAAGCCCGAGTTCACGCAGCCATGCATCTAGATTTTTTGTTTTTGTTTGTTTTTTTTTCGCGTTCAATCACAAAAGGCAGTTCCACAACAGCGCATGCGTAGAATGAACCCTAGAGTGCATGGTTTAAACTGAATGGCTGCCTTGCTTGAGGCACGCGAAAGAAATAGCCCATTTCCGAGTTACCCTTGGCCTCATTTTCAAAACGAGTCCTGGCGCTCATCCTTTCATATGATTATAAGCTTTCATTCACCTGCAAATTAAACTCATTTTCACAAGAATGGCTGAGTACCAGGCCTCGTTTTGAAAAAGAGGCCAGCAATTGCCTATTCGATGGCTATTACGCCTAATACATATACAAAGTCACACACCGTTCGCGTTAGACCCACACAAAAACTTGTGGAGCGTTTTGGGAACAGGTCGGTCCGTGAACTTTACGAGAGATCAAGTTACAAGCGGTACTTCTCGAGTGAGTGGAAGCGCGGTGGCCTCATGGTTGGTGCGTTCGACTCCGGATCGAGTAATCCGAGCTCGAGCCCCGCTTGTGTTGTGTTCTTAGGCAAGATACTTTACTCACAGTGCCTCTCTTCACCCAGGTGTTTAAATGGGTACCGGCAAATTTCATGCTGGGGGGTAACCCTGCGATGGACTGGCATCCCATCTAGGGGTTTAGGTTTAGGTTTAATTCATTCGCCACAGGAATGGCAGGAAAAAGGAACAGAACTTCCGTTCCAATTGACACCCAACCCCTTTTTTACCCACCCATCCCACCCCGGGGAGGACATCCATCACACAGTAATCTCGTGTGTGGGAAATTAACGTCTCTTACTCCAACCCTGCTGGAGACGGGACCTCCATTTATTGTCCCTATCCGAGAGGACCAGAAAGTCTAACCATTTGCAGATATTATTACAAAGGCAGAACTTTCTTCTCAGTTAATTAAAGACCCTGAGTGTTGGTCCGGCCGGATTTGGACTCACGACCTCCCGCACAACAGTCCGGCGCTCTACCAATTGAGCTAGCCGGGAGGCGGTTAGAACCGCCTCCCGGGAGTAGAAGGG